AGCCCCTAAATGGTGACCAAAATGACTGGGAGACCAAGGGGAGAGTTTACCAGGCAACTCACTGAGGCACACTGGGACACAGGCGGACAGTGTTTTCATGAAGCCCATGCAACTTTATGGAACTGGAGAGGAATGTGAGGAAGGGAGTTAGACAAAAATAGAACCAAGACTATTTTAAAAATTTGTATAAATTCTAATTGTTAATGTCAAGTTAGTTTGTACCAACCTCCGTGTGTGTGTGTGTGTGTGTGTGTGTCAATGTTTGTGTGTGTATCCATGTCTACATCTCTATATGTTCATGGAGACCAAATGTTGGAATCAGGTGTAATTCCTGAATTGCTCTCCTACTTAGTTTTTGAGACAGGGTCTCTCAGAGAACCTGGAGCTCACTGATTGCCAGCAAACCCCAGGGGCTCTCCTCTCCACTTTCCAGTGCTGGGGTTACAGGTGAGTGAGCACCACTGAGCCTGGTGTTTATGTGGGTGCAGGGGCTCTAACACAGCTCTCCTCGTGTTTGCAGTGGGATGGTTTGCTAAGAACGGTTGCCACGGATTCAGCTGGTGGGACTATCTGGGAAGGATTAGGAGGTGTGTCCATGTGGATGAGCTTTGAGGCTTCAAAAAGACTCAAGTCATTCCCACTGTAGTTTTTGCTCCTCGAGATGGGGGTGCAGGGCACACACTGGGAGGGTTCATAGGGAGGAAAGGAAGGGAGAAATGATGCAATTATAATCTCAAAGAAAAATTTTGCCTGCCTGCCTGCCTGCCTGCCTGCCTGCCTACTACCAGACTCTCTGCCATGATGGCGATAAATTTCATATCCCTCTAGAATGATAATCCCCAAAGAAACCCTTCCTGCATAAGATGCCTTGCTCGTGGAGTTTTATCACAGCAACAGTTAAGTAACTAATACACATTGCAAACACCTTACCAGCTGAGTCAGCTCCCGGCCCTGTCAGGTCAACTTAGAAAAAGCCTACCCCACAGCCATTCCTCCTCATTCACCAAGAAACACCAATGTCCCAGAAGAAAACTCCTCCAAAATGCAGAGTGGTGGTTATAAGAGCCAATTCTGACTGGATTAAAAGCTTTCCTGGAAGCTAGGGCAGTTATAAAGCTGTGCTGGCCAATAAAATGTAGGGAGTCGCATATCTGCAGAGGTCTCCAGCTACTGTTCCCTCGTCAAAGGGGAGCTAACTGGATATGCCCTGAACTCTTTTCCTGCCTAGAATGCAGATCCAAGCCCTGACAATCATCAATCATCTTGCAACCATGAGAACTAAAGCCACAAGCTCCCAACAGCACAGCAGGAAATTAGATGGCTTAGGATGACATAGGACATCCCCCAGTGACCACATCCCCTCTGTCCTCCACTGAACTCCTCGAAAGCCAGTCCTATTTCCATCAGGCCAGAAGAAAGTCTGTTGGATGCAGCCAGATTCGGTGCTAACAAATGCAGAAGAATGCCTGGAAATCATCCCCAAACAGCACAGGTTTGAAAGGGGCACCATGCTGACCAGTAAGTCTGGTGGTGCATTAAAGTGAGAAGTGGCCAGGCGCGGACGCGGACACACAAGAGGCCGAAGCAGAAAGTTTGAGGCCAACCTGAGCTACAAAGCAGACTGTCTGCGAAACAAACAAGCTGGCAAACAATACGCAAGAAATGGCCAGGCAGTGAGGGCACATGCCTCTGATCTCAGCACTTGGGAGGCAGGGGCAGGGCTGGTCTATAAAGCCAGTTCCAGGGCAGCTACAGAGAAACCCGGTCTCAAAAAACGAAACAAAACACACACAGTGTTAGGAACTAGCAGCCAGCTGACCCCCGCCCCCAATGATGGGCCTGGAGGCTCATGGCCGGCTATGTCAGCCTTACCTGGCTGCCAGAGGACTCAGTTACGCATGCGCAAGCCCCCCTTTTAAAGCAAGCGCCCCACACCCCTCTCTCTCTCCTGCTTTCCGTTGGCCACCAGCTACCCCCTCTTTCTCTCCCTTCTCTCAATAAACTCCACGTGGGCGCTGAGTCTCATGTTTGTGTTTCTTAGGCATTAGCTGCAGCAAAAGAACAACACACAGAACCACAAAAAAAGAAGGAAGGAGGAGGAAGAGGCAGAAGGAGAAGAGAACAGTAGCAGCCACAGTAGCGATGCACGCTGGAAACGCTAGCACATACCTGTAATCCCAGATATTCAGAAGCTCAAGCAAAAGGATGGCAAGTTCAAGGTCGTCCTGGGCAACTTAGTGAGATCATCTTACGAGAGAGTGTGGGGGTGCGGAGGGTACTGGGGTATGGCTCAACGGTAAGGCACTTGCCTTGGATCCCATCCCCAGCACTACAAATAAAGACAGGGAGACGAGAAGCAGTGAATTGAAGAGGCCTCGTCACCCATAAGGAGGCGGCACCAGTGCCCTGGCCAATTACTGCCACATGGAAATGCTAGTCATAGGTCTCAGGTTTCTCAATTTTATAACCATTAACCTTTGTTTTTAAGTTTAAAGTTTAAGTTTAAAGAACATAATGTGATCGCAGCGCTGGCAAGAAGTCTCAGTGGATGGAGCGCTTGCTCTGAAAGCCTGGTGACCTCAGTTCAATCCCAGGACCCATGGTGGAAGGAGAGAACCAACTCAAAATGCCCAGGGCCTGCATTACATCACGTGCCACGGCGCCCAGCCCTGACCATCCTCCATGCAGCCCTTCAACAGGAACAGCGGAGTGAAAAGACTCATTCACTCACTACCGTGCTGAGTGAACAGGAGTTTACAGTGCTTTTCAGTTTACCAAGTGTTTGAACACATAGCTCCCTCGATCCCCACATTCATCTAATGGCACTGTGATCACCATTTGACAAATGATGAGATGGAGGATTCCAGAGATTAGAGGACTTAAGAGTCAAGCAATTAGAAGAACCAGAGGCAAGCCTCGTGTGTCTCTGCCTCCTTCTTCCACGGCCCAATTCCACCACCTCACTTTAAAATAACTATTTATTCAAAACTAATTCCTACTTGACTCTAAAGTAACCCCAGTCTGCCTGACAGTTCCCAGGTACTACACTTATGGGGTTTTTTGAGGGGGGCGGGGGATACCTCCACTAAATAAAGCCAGCAAGGAGATAAAAATAAACACATCAAGTAGTGTGCTCGGAACTGGGTGTAAATAGACACAAATCCTGGATCTAATTTTAGAAAGAAACAGCCAAAGAGTCTCACGCAGCCCAGTGAGTATATGGCCCTGTGGGAGGCTGCCCATGCTGCTTCAAATGCCAGTGCCTCAGGAAGAGGAGGGAGACATTCTGGAATTCTGCTGGGTACCAGAAAGATGAGGAACAGAACGACTATTCACAACGACTTTGAAGGAAGAAGCTGAGGACCAGAGTCAGCAACAGGTGTGCATCACAGCACCACACACTCACTGTTTCTCTCTCTCTCTCTCTCTCTCTCTCTCTCTCTCTCACACACACACACACACACACACACACACACACACACACAAACTAGACTCAGAAGATCAAGCAGTGTTGATCTATATCCTGCCATCCTCAGCCAGCTTTGATGAGGTACCAGTTATCTCTTTAGAGTCATCATATGACCTGCAGGCCCTAATACCCTCCCTGGGGTCTTCCACTGATGAGGGAAGAGTGGGCTGCCAGATGTTACATGCTGGCATCACAGTTATAATAATAATTCCTCATGCTCTTGCTTCTGCAGTAAGGGGGAAAATGGAAGATATGCAGACAGGACCACATAAAGAGCTTTAAAATATTTCTGATGCAGGGAAAAACATCTCCACTTGTGTGATCTGTAAGTACAGTGTGTCTAGATTATGCGCACCTATGTGATCTGTCCGACTTCTCAGCTCAGGTCCCCTCAGCCACAGTGAACTGCTGAGTTAGGTAACTGCCAAGAAGCCAGGTTTCCTACTGTCTGGTGACTCACTTTCCAGTGGAGCAGAGAGACATGGAGACCTACAATTAACAAATAACCTAGCCTGCCCCAAGAAGGAGGGGGCCGTCCTAAGAAGACAGGCTACAGAGGTCAGGGAAGACTGTGCAAATGAAGAGGGCTGAGTGTACCCCGGTAATAAAAAAAAAAATCCACTGTCCGTGGATAGCCCACCCTTCACAAAGAAGATGGATCATTCCTTAAGGGTCAAGGCCAATTGAAAAAGTTTCCAGAAGGCAGAGGCGGCCCAATTCCCTTCCTGCCTGAGACTCTAGGAAACAGCTGTTGCTACTGGCAGCAAACCCCCAGTTGTGTGATCCAACCTCACAGCATCAGGTACACCTTCCTGCTGTTCATACATTGGAAATAAAAACCTAGACAGCTTCTACAGTTTGAAATGTCCCAGTGTCTCACTTCAGATGGCATAAAAAGCTCTGCAGCGCTGGGGATGTGCTTAGTTGGTAGGAGGCTCGCCTAGCATGCATGAAGTTCTAGGTCTGGTCCCAGTACCAGCAACAATAGGGCATAGCAGTTCATGCCTGTATTCCCAGCTTTCAGGAGGTGGAGACAGGAGAATCAGTAATTCAATGTCATCCTCAGCTACATAGTGAGTTCCACACAAGCCTGGCCTGCCTGAGACCTGTCTTTAAAAAAAAAAAATTAGCCAGGCGGTGGTAGCCCACGGCTTTAATCCCAGCACTTGGGAGACAGAGGCAGGTGGATCTCTGGGAGTTTGAAGCCAGCCTGGCCTGCAGAGCAAATTCCAGAACAGCCAGGGCTGTTCCACAGAAAAACCCTGTCTCAAAAAAATCAAAAATGAAATCAAACAAGCAAACAAAAAAAATCCCAATAAGATAAAAAATTGTACATTATGAATATGAAAAAAAAAAAAAAGGTCTAGAATCTAGTAGGTCAATGTGTCCTAGAAAGGAACTTCCAAATCAAGACACAAGGGAAGGCTGGCATTCTAACCAAATACATAGCCCTGCTCATTAAAGGTTCATGTATTCTTAAAAGGCATTTCCCCACACCTTCTTGTATCCTGTCTGTCTTTGTAGCACTAACCTCTCCAGTATGAGTCAATGAAGAATTCTTGCTACCCAAGTGACTCTCAGCCTGTGTTGACTCCTGTTGAGCTCTGCGGCCCATCTTGGCCCCCTGCAAGGACAGAGGAGAACACAGATGACCCGATGACATTTGAGGCCCTGTGGGTATGACATAATGATAAGCCAGGACTGGAGTTTTATGACATGGCAGAGAGCAGGGTTTGAGTAACTTGGATATATTCATAGAGAATTCTCTAAATCCTTACGAGAAAGTTACCAAGTCTGTTCTATATGGCAGCAAAGGAAGCATACAGGTTCTTGATCATGAGATTTGCAAAAGCCAGCTACAGCAAAAGCCAAGTCACTATTCTACTCAAGACACACAGTTAGAAATGCAGTTAGCTTGGGCAGAAGGCTCAAGCCACAGCTCAGAATGGGAGGTAAAGGCTCCCACCTTCCTAGGCAGGACTTGAGTAACTGCTCTCAGACAGGCTTTCAAAGAGAATTCCTCAATGTCATGGCAACTGACACCAGTGGAGCTCATCCAGAGAGAACTCTTGCTCTGCTGGTTGGATAAGCATCTATAAGCGTGGGGTGAGATGCACAGGAATGCTGAGACATCATCTTTGGAAACTAGAGCACTTCAGGATTCTGAGTCACCAGATGAAACATTTGCAGGTGTTCCCCAAGCCCCCCAAGTGGGTTGGGGCTCTGTCCCCAACATTCCCCAGGACAAAAACAAAACTCTGGGGCACACTAATAGGTGAAGAGTGTCTTTCTATGTGTGATCATTTGGGAGGGGGGGAACACCTCAGCATAGCAGAACACTTTTAGGTTTCCTTTTCCGTGGCTCTGTGTGAGCCTCATGATAGTATGGACAAAGACCCAGACTGACACCATTTTATAAAAGAGAAAACTGGGGCCCAAGACAGTGATTAAATAGCAGTGTCTTCTTGGGACTTTGAATCCTGTGTTCGTGCCACGACACCCCACTGAAAACTCGGTGCTAAGTTCTAAGAAGGAAGGTTTTTAGGAGTGCTGCATAAAAAATGGTAAAGTTTTTTATGGGCACCAGACTGCATTTATCAATCCTTCAAGTTGTGGTGTCAATCTTCCAAGGTTGGTGTGAATAATCTTTCTGATAATACAAGCTCATTTCCTTCTCCAGGATGGTACCATCTTTTGTCCATCCAGGTATTAGGTATCTGATCCTACAGTGGCTACCTTAAAACAGAATTAGTGACGGTATCTGAGTTCGAGATATTTGAAGTCGCTATAAATTGGCAACATAGAAAACCACTTTACAACCTGAGATCCTGCATTTTAAGGGTAGTCTGTTTACTGTCCTCCTCCACCACACTCCCACCCCCCACAAGGTAAGGTCAGTGGTGGTGTGTTCTCTGCCCAGAACAAAGTCTGGTACACAGTAGGGCTCAACATTACACGTTTGTGGAAAGAATGACTAAATCACTACATTAGCGCCCCAGGTACTTAAAAAAAAAAAAAAAAAAAAAAAAAAGGTCCATTCTCAACCAATTGGCTCCTGCCTCTCTTATCTCCCTCCATCGGGTCCTCTCTAGCACCTTAAAGGGCATCGGATGCTACCAGGGACCTTCAAAACACCTGAGATTTTACAGCAGAAACTAAGGACTTGCCAGATGATCCATTCTTTCAGTAATCTCAACTAACTATAAAGGCTATGGAGACCTGGAAGCTTTGACAGTCAGAAAACACTGAATGCAGGTCTTTAGTCAAGTTCTATAATCTACTGGCTAGACACTGGTCTTGGCCTGGGAGGAAAGAGTAGCGCGAAGGTCAGGTGCCGAGGTGAATACCCCATTTCACCTGCACAGCCACCTCCATTCTACCAGCAAGGAAGCCTGGGCTAGGTGTATTCTGGCCCATCAACTTTTTTTTTTCTTCCCCAGTTGTTACTCCCCCCACGTAATAAGCTGGAGTACTGATTTCCAATCCTGGGGAGGTGGGGTTACAGGGAGGAAAGGACATCCCCAACCACCTCTCTTCCTAGCTGCTTTCGGGAGAACTTCCGGGGATTAGACTCCGGGGCGAGGGCGGGCGTGGCTCGAGACGCAGACCCTCCGTCAAGACCGGATTCGCACTCAGGCGGCTGGGCCGAGATCTGTCCCGACTCCGGGTTTTTCGACCACTTGTCCCACCCGTTGAACCAGCCCCCAGCCCCCATCATCGCTCCTCACGGAGGTGGCCGAGATGCGACGTCTCTCCTCGCCCAGGTCCAGTAAATCGTCCATCTCCGCGGCCGCTGATGTCACTTCCTGGAAACAAGCGTCTGCGCCGCGTCCCTAACAACGACCCCGCTCTTCCACCTTAAAGAATCCTCCTCACAGTTCCTAGGTCCTGCAAGTCACTTTCCAGTTTAAACCAAGTCTGTCCTAAACCGACTTTGCTTGACTTAGGGAAAACAAAACAAATCTCCAGAGAGCAAGATCCGCTCTGGCTGCTCCGGCGAGGTTTGTCTCGGGAACTATCTACAAGTGTAGATCTGATTAAATATGTTTATGAGTTGGTGATTATTCTGACCCCACCATTCACAATGAAGAAAGGCCTCCAAATTACTGCTCAAGTGAAGGATGCAACAACCACTGTGGAGGGCAGTGGAGGAACACGTAGTATTATTTCCATTTGACAGATGAACACTAAGTAATAAAGTTTACAACGTTTACAAGGACTTGCAAAAATGCAGAGTATGTGATTTCTGCCTTCAAGAAGTTTATTTATGCATGCCTGTAATTTCGGCACTTGGGAGTTAGGGGCAGGTGAATCAGGAGTTCGATGTCATCCTCGGCTACATAATGAGTTTGGGAGTACATGAAACTGTGTTTGAAAGCAAAGTTTATTTAGAGGCCAGATTAAAACATCCAATACTCGAGTACTAATCTCTTTTAAAAGTATAACATAGTCAAGCATGGTGACAGGAGCCACTCTACTGCTACTCAGGTGGACCAAGTATGCCCAGGAGTTTGAGTCCAGTCTTGGCAGCATGGTGAGACCCTTTTTTAAAAGAAAAGAAGATAAAGCATTAGGGAATCTTGTTTAATCTGAACAACCCCACAAAGTGAACAACAATAGCTCCTCTACTCAGCAAAAACAGATAGCCTAAAGAAAATAATTCTAGTACTAAATGCTGGGCCAGCCTTTGTAATACTACGTTACTGTAGTATTTTTTTTCCCAGGACACAGTGGCTGCCCGGCATTCTCCTAGGCCTTCAGAAGGAGTTATCCCATGGATTGCCAGTCTAGGGGGTAGACAGATTGCGTCTTCATGGACTCATATTCCATATAAGACCCCTAAATCAGCAGCTCTGGCCAAATTCTGGCCCCACAGCAAATAGTATGGGGATAGCTACAGGTTCAAAATGAGGACTTGAAAATGGGAGGAGCTGAATAACAAACATTGCTGAGGTACCCAACAAGTGACACCCATCACAAGGATTCATTCCCCCGTGTTCACTGAGTAAGACCAAACATTCTCATGCCCGATGACACAATGGCCCGAGAGTCAGAGGAGTTGATTTCTCATCATAACTTGGTTTGACCTTAGTGTCCTCGCCTGGAATGACCTATAGAGATTTCTCTGAGATCCTTACATGCACCTCAGCGAGAATATTTTGTTAGGTTTTAATCTGATGCAACAATCATTGCCAAAATTTTCAGACAGCTTTGATAGAGGCATCAACTATTCCCTTGTTCCTTCTTCCATGGCACCGGTTACGCAAGAAAGGATTAATGCTTGGATTTTTCAATTTCTTGTAAGCTCCCGCCCACTTCTTCCCCAACTTTGAGAAAACAAAGGATGAATGGTACTCACCCTGGGCAAAGAGAATCCCCAGCAAGCAGGGGCTGGCAAATCTTACCCAGCACTTGAACCATTTGAGAAGTGAGTTTAAAAATATAGCTGCCCTTGAGACACAGGTGTGCGCAAGGCAGAAAGTGTATAGCCCAGAAGAGAATTCATTCCCTCGATAACTTTGCCTCCCCTGTTGTTATCCCAAGAGTTATCCCAAGAGCCTCAGCCTCTGGGGACACCTTATTTTAAATTTCAACAACCTCCAATCGGGGTACTCTCCCTCCCCTTCCCTGTTCCATTCCCCACATAATTTTATTTATTTAATGTGTTACCATCCTTCCCCCAATGGGAAATGCAAATTCCATAAAAGAAAGTTCTGTTTTGTTCATTGACTTATCCTCAGTGCCTAGAACAGCACAGGGCATGTAGTGAACACCAAGGCTCCTTCAGGGCTGGAGAGGTAGGAAGGTCAGCAATTAAGAGCATACACTGCTCCTAGGGAAGGTCAGGGCTGGATTCCCAGCATCTAGCCAGGCAGTTCCCAACCTCCTGCAACTCCAGCTCCAGAGGAATGGCTGCCCTTATCTGGCTTCCAACCATACACGCACATAAGTTCACATGGACTCTCTCTCCCCCACCCTCTCATAAAATATATTTCTCAACCCGGTGGTGGTGCACACCTTTGATCCCAGCACTCAGGAAGCAGAGGCAGGTAGACCAGCCTGGTCTATAGAGTGAGTTCCAGGACAGCCAGGGTTACACAGAGAAACATTGCCTTGAAAAAACAAAAACAGAACGAAACAAAAAACAAAAACAAAAACAAATCTATTTCTCAAATTGCAGAAGCAAACATAGCAAAGTGCAGACTGGCAATGGACAGGCAAGGTCAGAATGGTGGTATTGACACCTAAGACCTGTGTGATTTTAAAGAAAGTCATTTTTAAGGTCTCTGTACACCTAGATTTCCTCATAATCAGACAAGTTACAAGATACAAATAATGCATTTCCAGATTGGACAGCCTGTGATAGACAACCCCACTCCCCACACGCACTATGACCTTGAAAATATGTGAACCGTGCCTCAATTTCCCCAATTGTAAGATAATACATTGGCATCTCTTCCATTGAGACCAGAGCCTGGCCTCTCAAAAAGGGTCTAGAAGATGGGAAGAAAGTGGGCAGATCGGCTTGGGTCTGGCCTGACTTAAGCTGCGCATGAGGGGCGCGGGCGGGGGTTGGGGAGAAACGGCTGGGAAATGGGCTGGGGCCAGGTGCTGAGTCGGCCTGGAAGGGAGCAGCGCTCACTTGCACGTGGTGCCAGGAACTTGACCACAGGATCTAGTGGTGCTCCCAGTCCCACGGGACCGAGCCAGCGAGGCTCCGTCACTGGCGGCCCGGCCTCGCCAGAGGGCACCCTCGGCCTTCCTGAAAACGCCATCATTTACCCAAGCTGCAGCCTCCCGGCTCCTGGATGGTCAATGAAGAACCTCAGCCAGGATCGCGGCCGAGCCGGGTTCCACCCTCGGGCCTGGAGAGAGTGGCCTTGCCGCCCGGCCCCGCTCCCCTTAGCAGACCTCGCGTGTGTCCCCGACCCGGCCCGGGGGCGATCGGGGACGCGGGGAGGCGAGAGAGCTGGAATGACAGCTGGACCCGGCGCACAGGGGCCGGGGTAGCAGGAGGGAGGGGGCTCGGGAGTAACTTTCCAGAAAAACAGCCAACGTGTAGCAGGAATGACTCCAAGAGGAGGGGAAAAAAAAAAAAAAAAAAAAAGTTCAGTTACCACGTCGAACCAGAGGACTCGCAAAGTATTTTTCAAATGGGCTCGGCTTTTCCTGTGCCTGTTTAAAACATTAAAACCGTGTAGCAAGAGAGGCTGCGTGCGCTGGTCCCTCCCTCCCTCCCTCCCCCACCCCAGGCCGAGACGTCATGGGAGGGAGGTATAAAATTTCAGCAGAGAGAAATAGAGAAAGCAGTGTGTGTGCATGTGTGTGTGAGAGAGAGGGAGGAGAGGGAGAGAGAGAAGGGGAGAGAGAAAGGGAGGGAAGGAGAGGGCCGAGTGTAGGGGACTGGGCCACAGAGAGGCAAGACACGAATGAGAAGAGGCTTGCGGAGGAAGGAATAACGCTTGCTTTCCGGAGTCAGCTGCGGAGAATCGGCTTCTATTTTCTTTGCCTTTTGATTTCTTTCCCCCTAAAGAGGAGCAAGGGACAGAAGCCATGGCCGAGGGAGAAGACAAGCTAAGATGCTGGTGACTGTGGGTCCAGGTGGATTGTCCGAGCTGTGCCCGAGCCTGCCCTCCCTGCTTGCCAGTTGCACACAATCTCTCATTCCAGCCAATGGAGAGAAGAGGCAGCGTGAACAGAGCCATTTAGAAAGCCCCCGAGGAAGTGTAAACAAAAGGGAAAGCATGAATGGAGTGCTCGAGAGACAAGTGTGTCCTGCACTGCCCCCACCTTTAGCTGGGCCTGCCGCTGCCCAGCCCTGCCTCTCCCCACATACCCACTGGTGACTTTTTTAAACAGTTTTTTTTTTTCCTATTCTCTTTTCTTATTCTTCTTCGGGGCAAGGCAAAGATTCTGATTTTTGGGACCCAGCCATGGCCCTTCTGCACTTTCTTTAAAATACCCACTTTCTCCTCATCGCCAAGCAGCCTTTGGCAATATCAGATATCCGCTCTATTTATTTTTACCTAAGGAAAAACTCCAGCTCTTTTCCCACTCCCAGCTGCCTCGCCACCCCTCCCTACCCTCGGCTTGCCCTCCACCTGGCCTGCTGGGAGCCAGAGCCCAGCAGAAACCTGTTTAGACATATGGACAAGAATCCCAGCACTACATCGCAAGCAGTCCGCTCCTTCGTCCCGGGGCAGCCAGCGCTTCCTGGGAGTCCTGAAGCCCTCGCAGTGCAGTGAGTTCATGCACCCTCTTGCCAAGCCTCAGTCTTTGGGATCTAGGGAGGACGCCTGGTTTCCTCCCTCTTTCTACTGGGGTCTCCTCCTTGCCAGGCCTCCCCCGCCCCCTGGCCTTGCTCCTGGGCTCATACATGAAGATGCTCTTGCAAAGGGCTCTGGTGGTCCTGGCCCTACTGAACTTGGCCACAGTAAGCTTTTCTCTGTCCACTTGCACCACCTTGGACTTCGGCCACATCAAGAAGAAGAGGGTGGAAGCCATTAGGGGACAGATCTTGAGCAAGCTCAGGCTCACCAGTCCCCCTGAGCCATCGGTGATGACCCACGTCCCCTATCAGGTCCTGGCACTTTACAACAGCACCCGGGAGTTGCTGGAAGAGATGCATGGGGAGAGGGAGGAAGGCTGCACTCAGGAGAACACTGAGTCGGAGTACTATGCCAAAGAGATCCATAAATTCGACATGATCCAGGGGCTGGCAGAGCACAGTAAGTTCAAATGTTTGCTGGGTGTCTACTCTAGAGGGGATGGCCGGGAAGAGGGAGTTCCACAGAGGGGGCCTGGCCGTGGTTACACAGCAGAG